TCTAGATCTTCACCTATCTCCTCCCCCTCTTCAACTTCAGGCAAAGAGGAAGCCCTCCTCCCCAAAGCCAACCCTCCACCTGCATCCAGAATCCCATCCCTCCTTCTCCAGCATCTTGATCCAGCAGCTGTCCATTCTTTCTCTTCCACGCAATCTCTCCACTGACTCCTTCCTCTCTGCCTGCAAATATTGTCAAAACATCTTCTAGTCTAAGAGAACATTTCATTAACCCTACCATGCCCCACCCACCCAAGCTACTGCTCCACCTTTCCTCCCTCTCAACCCAAACTTCTAAAACCCAAACTTCTTTATCTACAATTATTAGCTCTATTCCCTCCCCACAATTCACTGTCTCACATCTCTTGTAATCTGACTTCCAATATATCCCTTATAGCTGCCCCTACTGGCTCTGTCATAAACATAATCCTTGTTTTCCTCCTACCTCTTTATTTCATCCTCCTCTGTCTCCTTTAATGCCACTTCCTAACTGCAAAGTCCAGAGCTCACTGCCTGGACCTTCTTCTCTTTTCTCCTTGCAACGGTAATCTCATCTAGTCCAATAGATTCAACTGACATCTCTATGTAGATGATTTTCTAATCCAGCCCCTTCTAATCTCTAGCCCTGATCTTTCCCCTGAGTTCCACACCCATATTTCCAGTGCCATACTGGACACTTCCACTTGCATTTGCTACTGGACATCAACATGTCCAAACCAGAATTCAGCATCTCCTCTACCTTTTCAATCTGCTTCTCCTCTACACTGCCCTGTTTCTGTTAACAATACCGTCACTCTCCTGGTCGTGTGTTCATAACCTTGGAATCAAACATGGCGCCTTCCTGTCCCTCCACATCGGCCCATCTCCCTGTGGAATCCATGGAGGTTAACAAAGGTGGACAGGGAACTCTCCACACGAAAGGAATTTGGGCTCTTCTAGAAGTCAGGACTCACTCACTCAAGTCTGGCCTGAAACTCACGTGTGCCCATGAGGCCCTTGAGTGCAACTAACCAAATCCATTCTCTTTGTTTATCTTTGCCCATTGTCTATTATTTAGTACTGAATTCTTACAGCATAAAATTTAGATGTTGCCTCCTGCTTACTCAGCCTTGCTCCTTGCTATGAAATAGTTATGATCCTTCCAGAATTCTCCATCTCTCCCTGACTCCCATCTTCCTGGTCCCACGAAGAACGCTTCACCTAGGAATGACTAGATGGTACAGTAGAATACCCACATGGTTACCAAGAAGTGTCGACTCATTTCTGGGTCCTGGAAGGAATATAAAGACTAGGATATGGGACACCTGCGTTCTCGTCCTCCATCTTCCACCAATAAGTTGTGTATCCTGGGACAGGCCTCTTCTTGTTTCTGGACCTGGGCTTCTTTATCCATAAAATGATGGAGCTGGACTAGATAACCTCTAAGTACCATTTCTTTTTTTTTTTTTGTGAGGCAATTGGGGTTAAGGGACTTGCCCAGGCTCACACAGCTAGTACGTGTCAAGTGGTTGGTCTGAGGCGGGATTTGAACTCAGGTCCTCCTGACTTCAGGACCGATTCTCTATCCACTGCACCACCTAGGTGCCCCTCTAAGTACCATTTCAGCTCAAACATTCTGTGATGGAATGAGTCTCAGATCCTACCTCATTCAGTACGGTGCCATGGAATGGAGTTGAATTGGGAGATGGAGGCCTGAGGTATCAAATTTTGGCTCTGATGCAATCAAGACTGTCCTTGTACATAATCCTGCCCATCTCCTGTCTCCATATCTTTGTACCAGCTGCCCTTTATACCTGGAAAGCTTCCCTCATCGTCTACGTAACCTTGGATAAATTGCTTTAAATTCTCTGAACCTCAGTTTTTTAAACAGTAAAAATGAAGAGGTTGAACTGCTTATGGAAAGAGCACTAAATCTGGAATAGGGGGATTGGGGTTCAAATTATATCTCTGACAGTTACTATATGCATAGTTTTGGAAAAGTCACTTAGCCTTCTTCTGTTTCAGTTTCCTCACCTACAACATGAAAGCATTAAGAGTGGATGGCCTAGGGGCAGCTAGGTGGCGCAGTGGATAGAGCTCTGGCCTTGGAGTCAGAAGGACCTGAGTTCAAATTCGGCCTCAGACACTTGACACTTACTAGCTGTGTGACCCTGGGCAAGTCACTTAAACCTGATTGCCTCACCAAAAAAAAAAAAGCTTAAAAAAAAAAAGAGAGGATGGCCTCTAAGCTTCCTCCCAACTCTAGATCCATATTCCTACAATCCTATAAATACGGGCTGTAGAGCTTATTTCTACTGTTCATCTTTAGATTTTCCTAGTCATCCCGTTTGTCCTTTTCTATATTTTTCTTGTGTTTGGCCAGTCTCTAAATTACAATACTCCCATGACCCTCTCTCCTTCCCCTTCATATCCGTTCAGGAAAACAGGTTGGCTTAGCCCACTGCCATTTTCTCACTATTGTCTGTATTTTTTTCAATTGAATGGAGGCGGTAAGCTCAATGAAGACAGGGAACAGCCTTACTGGGTGGGGGGAAACATTTCTGAATGCTGCCAACAAACCTGCCATTTTCAGAGGAGGAGGAGGAGGAGGAGGAGGAGGAGGAAGATATGGCTTGGAGGAAAAGAAGCAGGATGTGGGCCCCCAGCCCCCACAAAATAAATGTAAGATTCCAGTCTGGTTCCCATCTGGATTACTCATTAAAACCACGCAGCCTATGACTGAAATACTCATGCAAACACTCAGGACATACAAGGAGGCTGTGTCAACACAAGCAGGGGGAAATGATGGGTTTGGCAAATTATCCTATAAGTTTGGTTAGGTGCTGATAAACAATCCAGTTAATCCACGGTAAGACCTTCCCATCTCTCTGGAGGGTGTGTTGGGCTAAAACAATAAATGTTCTATTTATTAAATGTCTGTGATATACTAAAGGCATCGTGTTAAGTTACTGTTTTATCTCCAGACTTGGCCTTGCTTATTCAAACCTACTTCAGAAGGCCCTGGGGGTCTATCCTCCTCTTTGCTCTCCCCCAACCTCCCACTGGGCCTGGATCCCATCGGTGATTCCAGTAGTCAGGAGGAGCCACAGGAAGCCATTTTCTTTTCTTTTCTTTTCGTGAAGCAGTTGGGGTTAAGTGACTTGCCCAGGGTCACACAGCTAGTGAGTGTTAAGTGTCTGAGGCCAGGTTTGAACTCAGGTCTTCCTGACTACAGGGCTGGTTCTTTATTCACCGTGCCACCTAGCTGCCCCTAGGAAGCCATTTTCTCTGAACTTTTCCACCAATGCAGTGACTCTGGGTTCCACAGAGAAATGGATAAGATGGGGGCTTGGGACTGGGACTGTCCAACCCAGGGTCACCTCTACACCAAGCTGGGGCATCAGAGCAGGTAGGACACCAGGGGAGGAGCAGATGGAACCAGGCTTTTGACAATTTCAACAGAGTTGGATTTTGGAGAATCAACCTTAGCTGAATTGTGGCTGAGAGATCTCTTTCCTTCGAAAAAGATCTCTCCCAGAGAAGCTGCCCCCTTCTTTCCTGATGACTTAATCCAGCCAGAAGCAATGGTTTAGAAGCTAATTCTCAGCAAAAGACCAACCTACTGTTTTTGTACGGCCTTCCTCCTTCTGGACCAGCAATGTTGGCCTGCCGATACCCTTCTTTTCTTTTTTTTTCTTTTTTTTAAAATTTTTATCTTTTGCTAGGCAATGGGGCCAAGCGACTTGCCCAGGGTCACACAGCTAGTAAGTGTTATGTGTCTGAGGCCAGATTTGAACTCAGGTCCTCCTGAATCCAGGGCCGGTGCTCTATCCACTGCACCACCTAGCTGCCCCGATCCCCTTCTTTCCTGTAGACCACCAGCCAATGGCTCCTTCCCATCCTTAATCTGAAGCCTCCTCACTCTTTCTCTGGACCTCTCCTAAGACTTTCTGTTCCTTTAATGCAACACCCCATTCCTCATATCCACACCTTTGCATTAGTATCCCTGTCACTAGACTCCAGGTCACCTAGGCTTTAGAGATCTCTAAGGACCACCCATCTGAACAGAGGTAGGACAAAGCATAGGTCCATGGCCTGCTGATCACTTCAAGAATTAGAACAGTTGCCAGTGGGGAAAGATGTGACCACAGACAGACCCCAGTGAGAGCAAAAGTTGCCATGGTCATCAAAATGCGATACCTACTATCACTTCAGACCACATCTTCCCCTGTCCTAGGCTCCAGCTGGAAGTCAAGATGGTAATGTCCATCAGATATGGATTCTTACAGCTGGTTCTAGGATCCTGACCTTTTCTGATGGAGCTGTGGCTAGAAACAACAGATACTCCTTCAGATATGTATTTTTTTTCTCCTGCCTGGAGACTTGCAACCTGGGATTAAATAAAATCTGCAGGCTGTGTTACAAAAATCAACGTTTCTGTTTTTTCTATGCCTTTACTAAATCTAATTAAACTGTATTTTGAAAATTACAGCTTTGAGTGAAGGTGACAAATGAAGGACCATGAGGGGCAGGCCAAAGAAGCCTGGGCAGCAGCAGGGTTGGGGGCTGAGCCAATAGCTGTCCTGATGGACTAGACAACATAAGATATGGGAACGGCAAATATAATATGGGAAAATAATAGTAGAGAGGGCTGATACTGGAGTGACATCCATGGCCTTAACAGCTGGCATGGGTCACAGTGCTCCTTCCCTGGCACAGAAGAGGTTAAAAGGCTTGCCTGAATTGACACAATGAGTCAGAGGCGGGGCTGGGACAGATTCTGCCTTTCTTCCTTCCCAACTCCATGTCACACTAAAAGTAACTTTTCATCAGAAAAATTCCAACAATCGCTGTATCTTAGCGTCACATGTGTTGACACCTAACTCTAGGTGGTGGCTCATTACCGTCATGCGGGAATATTTCATGCCAGCAGCATTACGGGGGCACACATCAAGACGCTCGGCAGAGCACAGCCAGAGATAAGCTAGACAAGGGAGGAACATGCTCCTGGGGACTTGACTTACACTCTTTGGACATCCCCACTTCAAAGCACTTCTGGAGACGGCAGTACTGGCAGCGGTTCCTGGTGACTTTGTTAATCACACAGTTCTTATCTCGATGGCAAGTGTAAATCATGTTCTTCTGAATACTCCTGCGGAAGAAGCCCTGCAACCACAAGCAGAGAGAGAGAGAAGAGAATTAAGGCAACGGGCAGCAGCCAGGCAGCCAACCCAACTCCTCACCAGACTTTGATTGCTCTGCTAAGGGAGGGAAATGACAGCAATGTAGACTGAGGTTCGACTACCTAAGCAGAATGCCTCGTCGAGCCACTGACAAAGATATCTTCAGTCGGGTTCCCTCAGACCAACATCTTTTCATCATGGGCTTCCCTTGTCTGCCAAGTGTATTCCTTCCACAAGGTGAATGGAGGAAAACTTGAATTTCTCAAATAGAAAAATTGGAGGAGGAGCAGGGATGGGTGTGTGATTGTTTACTGTTTTCTGAGAGGATTCATTGAGAGGCAGTGTGGACCATTAATGGATAGAGGGATGGCCTTAGAGTCCGGAAGACCTAGGTCCGAAGTCTTGCCTCTGATCATACAAACCTGTGATACACCCGTGTGCGGTCATCTCTTCACTTCTCAACATTTCAGGGAACTTTCTAAGGCTGTGAATTTTAGGTGTGCTGCCAGTCGGCATCGGTGGAGGGAGTTTCTACACCTAGGGTTCCCCCTACAAAAAAGTCACAAGTCTAGATAACTCCCTCACCCATCCTGACCCCTGCCCCTCCAAAACGGATTCATCATTTTCAGATCATCCACAATAAGCAGGATGATACCTGGAGCACTGATTCTGGAGTCAAGAGGACTGGGTTTAAATGCCACCTCTGACGCTCCCAACTTTCGTAACCTTGGGCAGGTCACTTAAGCTTCAGTTCCTTATCTGTAAAATGAGGTAGTTAAACAGGATGGCCTCTGAGGGCCTTTGAAACCCTACAGCTACAAGATTTTGATCAGATTCCTTGGGATAGCGATCTCTGCAGAGGATTGGTTTACACATACCTCCCCAGGTATGTGTCCGTGGCATCCACCAGCAGCCTCCTCTCACTCTCCTATCTGCTCACCTAAGGAGAAGGCCCTTTGTTCCTGGCACATTCAAAAAACAAATGTATTTACTCTGGAGAGCTGGGACTCCATTGAACTCCATTTGAAAAGATCTCATGAATATATCTGCTCTATCGAATGTATTTTAGTGAGGCGGAGAGGGAAGGATGACGAATTAATTAATTAATAGTATAATAATATTAATAAATATTATTTATTTTTTATTTTATTTATTATTTTATCTATCTCGCTATCTATCTATTTTTTTATATCTTATATTCTCTGAGGTCCCTCCTAGCTTAGATTCCCTTTCAGCATCTTTGGGCATTCAGTGTCTAAGCCTCCCCCACTTCAAACAGTCAGTCAACAAACATTTACTAAGTGCTGACTATCCACCAGGCACTGGGCATGGGATGCAAAGAAAGGCAAAACAAAAAGAAAAACAAAAAACAAAAAAACAAAAAAAAAACAAATCATGGTGCCTGCCCTCAAAACATACAATAAGCAAATAACGATGTGCACATAATCTATATAAATGCCAGTGCCTTCCTTCTGTTAATTATCTCCATTTATCTTACATGTCTTGTTCCTGTATTATCTTCCCCATTAGAGTAGGAGCTCCCTGAGGGCAGGCATAGCTCTACCATGTATGGTCTTATGAGGAAGCACACCTTCTGGAAGGTCTTATCTTAACTAGTTTTTGTTTTGTTTTGTTTTGTTTTTTGCCAACTGGAAGCCAAGCTCACAGGCTGAAGAATTATAGATGTGGTCAGCACTTTCTAAACATCTGTACCCTGGGGCAAAACCATAGCTGCCTTGTCCTAGTTCTGTCTCTGGGTACTGCCACTGGTATGGAAGGACTTCAGAGGATAGTAATCAGCCAGTTAAAGTGGCTTTGGACCAAGGACGTAGGAGAAGGATACACAGGTTTTCTGAGCTTTCCAAAATAGCTTTCTGGCATGATTTCAGTTTTAGCAAATGATTTCTAGCTTGTCACAATTTTTGCTGACTTAATCTCTACTGGGGAGTATTTTATACCAAGTTGTGCAAACATCAATGCCTCTAAACCAACAGGGCTAAGTTTACATGGTACAAACAGGAAGAAATACCTCTTGTCCCTATAAGCTATTGTATAGGAAGTCTGTTTCCTGGTAGACCAAAACGATGACCCCATTTGAAGGGGGGTTTTGGAAATTCTTGTGTACTCATGGCTTCTGTGAAGTGGTGATTGGAACCTTGGGTGGGGATGGACAGAGGGAAGGTTTGGGAAGGACTGATTAGTTATAGAAATAATATGATCCAAGTCAGAGAGTCTGCAGAGGCAGCAGTGGACCAGAGAAAGTCAGCTTAGAAAGGCTTGAGGGTAGGAAGTAATCAATGGGATTGCCTCTGCAGAGCCAATGGGCTTCAGAAAGGGTAGTTTTTCTAGCCTGGCTAGAGATGAAAAACAAAAAAAATATTTGTAGAGCAACTGACAAAGTGTCAAATACTTGTCTGCCACGACAACTTATCTGAGTCACATCCGAAACAAACAACACACAACAGAGAGGGCCAGCACCAGTGACCCCCATTTTACAGATGAATAAATTAAACATCCCAGAGAAGGGACGTCATTTAGCCAAGGTCACACGGGTAGCTTGCGGCAAAGCGGTGAGTAGAACCCAGGTTCTCGGTGTCTGTGTGCTGTCTTCCTCCTGCTGCACGCACACTGGCCCTGGTGTGAAGCTGAGTCACAAAAGGACAATGAGTGACTGCGCCCGGCCCTACCTGTTTGCCGAGGGCATCTTCAAACCTCCCCATGGGGGGAATAAGATGGTTTTTGTCATGATTCTAGCCACGTGACTTAGCAAGTCCCATGAGGACGGCCCACTACAGAGGAAACAGAATTGGCTAGAACCTGGGAGAAAGCCAAGTCTAAACTGAAGAACAGAGACCTCGGCCCTCTTGGGTGCTGGCCACAGGAAATGACCAGCAGTGTCCATCCAAGAGCCTTCTTTATGTGCGTGGCAGGCATGGGGGATGGTGAAAATGAGATGCCAGGACAAAAGGTGAGAGGCATGGTTATGGGATTTAACTTGAAATTTCTATTAAAGAGCTGAGATGATTATTGTAGTGCCACTATGCTTTGTCTTGGGGGATAATTTTCAAATATTAAGGTATTGCCTAAGCATTATTTCACACAAGCTTCATCAAGAAGCCAAGAGGTTGCATGAAGCAGCTGGGAAGCAACGGGTAAGCCAAGAAGACCTGACTTTAATTCCCCACCTTGGGGAAGTCAATGAACCACTAAGCTTAATCTGGGCATCTCTCTAGAGCCCCAAGTTACAAGTGGGTCACTGAATTCTGTCACTAGGAAATCCTTTCATGGCTAAGCCCTCAAGTCTGCACCTCATTAGAGTAGCAGATAGGAAGAGCAACAAGGAAAAATGTTGACTGGGGCAGCTACGCCCCAGATCTGAGTTCAAATCTCGCCTCAGACCCTTAATAGCTGGGCAACCCTGGGCAAGTCACTGCTCAGTGCCTCAGTTTCCTCATCTGTAAAATGGGGGAATGATGGCTACTAAGGCCCCTCCAACTCTAAATCCACAATAACATAATTCAGCTCAATTCATTGTGCTTAGGTAGTGTTGACACAGAGACTGAATCAAAACCAGTCTCTGCATGAAGGAACTGATGTTTGACTGTGTAGACAGAACACACACAGAGAAGAGTACAGTTAGCCCTTCCATAACTCGACTTTCTCTGTTGTGGTTTCAATATATCTTGGGTCGGCATAAGAAATTAAATGGGAGTTTTGTAGAAGCTGCAGATGACATGCGAAGGCCAGAAGACAATGCAGACTATGTTTAGCAACTCAGACATGCATGAAATATATGTGTAGTATTGGATAATATCAATATATTTTATCTTTTAATAACATCATCATTTAGACTTCTCTAGTATGGAGGGCCAACAATTCTTACATGGATTTTCTAGATTGTGGGGTGCTGTGAACCTAACCCCCATGATGTGGAAGGGATAATTGTATAATATAAAATAGGGTTCAAAACATCCATCAGATAATGACTACAAAGAAGGCAGCTCTGACAGCTGGAGGGTTTGAGCAGGCTGCCTGGAGGAGGTGGTACCTTAGCTTAGCACTGAAGGCAGATTAGGCTTCTCTGAAGCGCTTGAAGAAAGAAGGAGTTTGTGAAAGGCCCGGGCACTCTGAGCAACTATTAGGATGGCTCTTGGTTCAGTACACACAGGAGATGATCAGAAAGTTCAAAGGTGTCTCTGAATCACAGAATCATGGGGGCCTGAACACAAGGCCCTTGGGCCGGCATCCGATCTCCCCCTTCCTGCTCAGAGGCAGAACTGCCCTGAAGTCATTCCAGGAAGATTCCTCCCTCTACCCGTCCTGAAAGTCCCCAAGTTCCCTTGGAAGGCTGAAGGAAGTAAATAAAAGAGCTTCTGAGAGGTGATGCTCCCCAGTCTGACTGGAGCAGCAGCAGCCCCTCCCAACTCAAAGACATCCCGCAGTGATGGGGAGCTCCCTACCACCCAGAGCACTCCACTCTCCATCTTATTCTCCCCAGGGTGACTGTTCCTCCTAATATCTAGTCTAAACAGGACCTAAATTTTTTTAAAAATGTCTCCATCATGCCTTCTACAGCAGAAAAGAAAAATCACTCAGTGCTATCCAAGCAAATGTTGGTTAAATGGTCACAATCCTTTGGCTTTTTCTCACAGGCCCCACCTTGCCACTAACCAACAGGTCTTCTCACTGCGTGCCTGTTTTTTCCTTGTTCCAGGTTCTTAGAATTTGGCTTCTAAGTCACGTGTCCCCCAACTGTACATGCAATGTTTATCTTGAAGTCTTTATGGTATTAATATCATAGAAAAGATAGAAAAAGGAAATTGAGGCCCATGGAGATTAGGTGACTCATCCAAGGTCACACACTGTGGTCATCTGATTTCATACCTGTATTTTTTAACACCGTGCCTTCCTCTTGGGGGTGGAGTGGAACGTCCAGTAACCATTCTACAGTAACCCATTACATTGTAAGCTTGTTGAGGGCAG